AGAGAGAGAGAGAGAGACGTTCAAATGAAAACCATTCATTTCTTAGAAACCGTGTAAACTAATTTCGACCAATAGGAAAATTTTATTTTTTTCTAATTAAATTTAATTATTAAGGGTATATTGGTCATTGGCATTATTATCTATTAAATATGGAAGTTATTAATAAATTTTAATTAAGGTAACATAATAAAGGATTTTTTATAAAGGGTAACATTTAAATATTTAATTAAATTATAATATTAAAAATTGGATTTTGTTATATTGTGTCTCGGTTTATTATTGCCAAGATTCATGAAAATCGTAAGTTATTAGATCTATAAATCCATGAAATCAGTAATAGAATAAAGAAAAATATTCATGAAACCGATTTCATATATGGTGAAATTGGTGCATGGAATAAGTGAAAATAAATATGAAATTGGTGCATGATGAAACCGGTTTCATACATGGTGAAATTGGTGGATGGAGTAAGTGAAAATGATTATGAAATGGGTGCATGATGAAATGGGTGCATGATGAATAGGGTGCATGATGATATGGGTGTGTGAAGGAAGTGAAACCATTTCATAATCGGAAGAAATTGGCTGATGAAATGGGTGCATGAAGAAAGTGAAACCATTTCATAATTGATAAGAAAATGTTGTGTAATTAGCGAATAGTGAAACCATTTCATTATTACAATGAAACGGATCTATCTACCAATAACAATGAAACCATTTTATAATTAGATTGAAACAAATCCATCTACCGAAAACTTGAAAATGACAAATGTCTCATCTAACATTACGTTGATTTGTGAATTGATGAAACCGTGAAATCATTTCGTTCATGAAATGTTGTAGTAATTTTTTTTTATTCAAAAGGTTTCATTATGTTAAATTGATTATAGTGTGTTTTATTTTTATTGTTGATCTATTTTAATGATGGATGTTATTTTTTTATAATATTTGAACATAAAATTAATATATTATTTTACAAATGATTTTGTTTCATTAATGTTACGATATACATGATATGGTTGTCATTAATATTATCACTATCAAAGTTACCATTTTGCCCTTTTTAGGATTATAAAATAAATTTTTATTTTATATTTTTTCTTAATTTTCTAATATAACCTAAACTAACCATTAATCAAGAAAATGGATGGATAAGATTGGTTTACATGGTTTACACAAATGAGGACAGTTTTCATTTGATCGCTCATATATATATATATATATACCTTCAACTACTTTTCTTATCTTACATATATATGTTCACATTTATTTTTTACATATATACAAATAAGTTATATAGAGATAGACAAGATATTGAGAATATATTTATATAAAGCGGATACGTGATAGTGTAATTGTCTAATGTACATATTAACAACCTAACAATCATATTAAATACAAGAAATATAAAGATATTGGGTTCATCAGGTTGGATTATGTTCAAAATAACCGAAACCCAAGTTCAATCCAATAATTACAATTCAAAGATTTTACAACTCGTTTAAACATCAGATTAAATTGTTTCATGTGAGATTGAACTTTGGATGCTCTTATAAATTCATATGGTTTGCATGGAGGTGCAATGACAAAAGGTCCTTTCATTTCCCTTTTAAACATGTCCTGTTTTTTGAAGGGTTTGTTGGATTTTTGCAATAAATTGTTGGGACATGGAGTATGCTTCCAATGAAGCATTCACTCTTTGGATATAAAACGGACCAACATACTTGAAGTGACATGCCCATCACCGACTTTGACACTTTCCATCACTAATTACATAACAATAATATTATCACAATTTTATATCAAATTCAGATCAAATCATGTACTGATAATATAAAAAGTAACTTTTGATAAAAAACTAAAAATAAAAATGTATTTAATAATATATAAAAATGCATTTAACATTCACAATATGTAGTGTTTTCACAATCTAATTACATAACAATAATATTATCATAATTTTATATTAAATTCAGATCAAATCATGTACTGATAATATAAAAAGTAACTTCTGATAAAAAAATTAAAAATAAAAATATATTTAGCAATATATAAAAATGCATTTAACGTTCACAATATGTAGTTTTTTTATATTTTATTTCGTTTGTATTTGTTTCAAGATGTGAAATGTTTTTGTTTAACAAGTAATTAGAACGAGAAATCTGAATGACACAAAACCCTTGATACACACTCACCCGCTCCTCAGAACACACGATTTACCTCCCTCATGATGACGTAGAACAGTTTTTTAGCAACGTTACTAAATACAGAAACATGAAAAACACAGAATCAATAATACGCACCCACCCGCCCCTAAAACATGCAATTTAACTCACTCACAATGATCGTAATAACCAGTAAAAATTGGTTTTTTAACAAAGTAACTAAGAACAGAAGTCCGAAAAACCAAAAAACACCAATACAATAGCGATGACGAGAATGATTCTTAAGAACTATGAGGAATTCAAACGATATATAGGTCGCCGTAAAAGCTAACTTATATGATACCAAAACTGTAAAACAAGAAAGCATATCATATGATATCATAACTGTAGGATATGATGACAGTATTCCCATTGTTTCGTACCCTTTTAGTTTTTGTATCCTCTTTATGTGATGCACAGCTAAATTTCGACACAAGATTACAAGGAAGAAGTGCCATTATCATCTAACGGAAACATCTTTTCCAGCATGCCATTGGAAAGGATCTTGTTTGGATCCAACTCCATCCGTGCTTTGTTGAATGCATCTATCGGAAATCGCTTTCTTAACCTTGCCTGCAGTGCTGCAAGTTCGGCTTTGTCTTTTGGAACCTGAAAAAACAATATATATATATACACACACACTGTATCAAGAAATGTGTGTTTTAAATACTACTTTCAAACTGGATGGTTAAGAACCTAGTATACCCCCACTTGAAAGGGTCTCAAGATGGGATATAAGCAGACATGTCATCTACCCCAAAGGGTCAAGCGGTTGTTTGTTGGAAGATCAAAGTGTGAGTGAAAAAGGAAGGTTCCAAGAACCTTCCCACTAGAACTAAAGAAAACCAACCTTCATTACCGGTGGAAAGTAATGACATTTGCTTTCAAAAATCCTTACCATTGCCTTTGAAAGACAGATGGAGCATTTTTTAACCCAAATGTAAATCGTACGAACATTAAACCTTGTTTATTGTGCATGATGATTGTTTTTCGCAATCTTCCAACACATAAGAGGGTGCAAACTCGAGCAATGTGAACGTAGAGCCACATGTTTCGATTAGGTCTCCTCCATTTTGGAGGATTGATCGATTGACCTCAGAATCCGTCCAATTACACAATGACTCACGTAAGCACTTATGTAAATTATGAAATGCTTCTGATATCACAAACTTATGTCCATATCAAAAGATTTCACAAATTACAAAAGTGTGTACATTTATCATTATGTAATTGGACACTGGACCTGGTCGATCGATCAATTCCGAAATGGAGGAGACCTAATCAAAACATGTGGCTCTAGGTTCATTATGCATAATGTCGATGCGGTGCATCATGAAAGTAGCAACAATCTGAGTCTCATATGGAGGTCCTTCATACTCCAGAACCACAAGGGTATGTCTTATATCGAGTCTCACAGCTTTACAATCTACTACAGATTCATTTTTAGCATATAAGCTTGGATAATGGACTTGTTAAAATTAAGTGAGATGCAAGTTCTTTGACCAACCAAATTTATCAAATCTGGTTAAGATTACTTGGTCACTAACAGAGCAATATGTACCTTTGATTGTGTTTACACAATACTCAGCCAAATGCTAAAACACATTCACATTGACTTCCTAAAATATCAGTACTTCGCACATGGTAATCGATTGAATTACCATCTGGTCGCACATGATTTATTAGTTAGCAAGACAAATTAGTTCAAGTCTCCTCAGGGCTACTAGGAATTAATATCCATCAGGGCTTCATGGGATTAGTCAGTCGAGTTGCACGCAAGCTGACCCGGACATCCACGTTAAAAAGATGTTCGGACAATAGCATATATTTCATGTTTTTGAAGCAAAGCTCCTACGTTGCTTTCAGTCCAATTTAATATAGCTTAATCCTTTTGACCAGTATTTCATTTCATATATGTACTACTGAAGGAATATCTGGCATGTGAAACATACCTCAATCTTAGCCCAATGTTCGTAAGCAGAATATTGATCCCAAAGGCGTGATTGAGTCAGGTGCCTATAGTGGAAGAATTCTTCTGTTATTTGTTTCCTCTGGCGAGCATCTGTTGTAGGAAGATACAAGATTATACCCACCTGCCACGTTGAAAACAAGAATGACACGTAAGATAACACACAAGAGTTAGAGGGAAACAAGCCAATTGCACAAAAGATACGATGACTCGATAAGCATAAATAATGTGTCGTTTTGAGTTCAGACAATCAACTGTTAAGAGTCTAACTGCTGGCTAGCTTGTAGTTGAGAAAAGTGGTTTTACTAAATACCCCTTGACCACATGTTTATCACAATTCACCAAATTTAATTTGAGAACCTTAAAGCTGGCATGTTGTAATGTTTGCACTCGTTAATTGTGCAATCTTAGCCCCATAAACTTTTCCTAAATGCTAAGTGGAATGGTTTCATGGGTATATCTGAGAATCATGTATGTCGAAACCTATTTGGCATGCTAAGATATGTAAAGCAACATATAGCCCAATATTATCCACTTACCCATGAGAATATATCGTCATTTGATGAGCTTGAAGCTGGACTCATCAAACTTCTGCTAGAAGCAGTCCATCTCTGTTCTATAGGTGCAGGTGCAGGTATCTCTTCTTTCTCTATCAGCTCCATAACGTCCTCTATGTATTTGAGGTCCTTCATATTTGGTTTTGATAAAGTTCCAGCTGGAAAGCATGTCTCTGAGACCCACTGTTGGCCACCACAATCGAACCCCAAAATTTCATCACTCCAGCCTACCCTGTATCCTTCCGATCTCTTCCAAAACTCAGCCTCAGCTTGATTGATCTTTCGAACATGGTCCTTGTTAAGAGGATCAAGGGATAGTAATTTATCTCTTAGCTCAGTAAAGGTAAGGCTGGAAATTTCTGGTTCATTTTCGTCCGTAGATGAAGTTGCCATTGGTTGGCCTCTGCAAATAAAAAAGAATTAACGAACCAGATAAAATCAAAAGGATACTAAATACAAGGCATAAGCTGATCATAACACTCTGCTTTGTCCAAAGTCGAATATTAATTCTCCCTTTTGAAAAAGAGTCCATTTTTCTTTAACTGAATCCTACTGAAAAATAAATGGGGAAAAATATTGATTTTCCTAAATGAACCTCCATTCATTTCTTAAAGATAGGATAAAGTTTGTCTGCAAAAAATTGTCTTTAAATTCATTCAAAATTTTAAAGTGAGCATGATTTTGGGGACAGGAGTATACGGAAGCACTTAAGATAGCCGAGAGAAGTGAACCTAACAGACTTGTTTTACAAGCATAATGGAGGCTAATATGAAATTGAAAACTTGCCTCTCCTGGTAACACTCTGTCAGTAAACTTGGACTTGCACCTGAAACTATACAAAACAATAAAACTCACCTGTACCTCTCTCTTGATTCTTGATATAGATCACGAACAGGCTGTAAAGCTTCATCCGGACTATACTTGGGCTTATATTTGGGTGGGCCTCTCCATTTAGAAACAGGGTTACATGTCACAACTACAACAGTGTCGGTATACGGTATATAAAGGTACTTTACATGCTTGTTGTCGTTAAGAAGCTTTCTGCAACCCAAAAGAACAAATGTAATGAGAAGAAAGAATAAAAGGTCAGAGAGTGTAGGATAGATGACTTTATCCCACGTAATGAAGAAACCAGAATTGATCATAATTGTTCTTTAATGTATAGACAGACTAATATAATGTGCACCTTGCCTCAAGAAGGTGCATTAAAGGTCTTGCACTTGGTTCCTTGAGGCTTAAATCGGAAGTCTCAAACACACACATATTATGTAGACATAAATGATACAGAGATGGTTTCATCTTGTAGTTGACTGTAAGTCCTTTTGGGTTAAACCAAGAGCAACAAAACCTCATCATCTATCTAAAGATTACCATGGGACAAAGATGGCAAAATAAATAAATCATCACTGAAATTTAATTTTTAACTTGCATACATCAACCATATAATTACATTCTCCCCGTGCACTTGAGGTGTGAGCTCACAAACCTAAGTGGCCTGTAGTTGTGGCATGTGCTTGGGTGCTAACTGAACTCCCTCAATCCTGACTTCAATTTGTTTATTTCATTGAAAATTGGATGGAGAACACCTAATTATGTGATTGATATATTTCATTCATCATTCATAAGGTATTTAAGTGATAAAAATCATGAAAAAAGTGAGAGAGATTTGTAAGACAACATCACATGCTTCAGTCTGGTACACCGTGCATCCCATCAATATAGACAAGAAAGAGGGATGGGAACATAAAATCTAATGTGGACTTTGGGCGTTAAAAACATACATTACAGATTAATAAGAAGTCTTTTAGTGGACATAAGGGAGAAATCATTGGTGGAAATAAGGTAATTATCTCCATATATTCATGTTATATTAAATGATCCACTAAAGCAAAATGATCAACACTTCATTTGATCCTCATACATCATGCCTTCAATCTCTTAAAAGGGGATACTCCATCGTTCCGATCTAGTTAATATTCGCAGAAGCAAATTTTCCAGCATTTCTCATGTCAAACATAAGACATAAAGAAAACCATCGGGCTTGTCAACTGAAATCGGATACGTACTTGTGATTTTTCTTGATTTCAGTCAAGTTAGAGACAAACGTGTGCTCTACAAGCTCTTGCCTCTCAACACACTGAAGAGTGACTTCAGCAACAACCCCCAACCCACCTAGCCCACAGCGAGCTAAGAAGAATAGTTCAGGGTCCTTGTCTTTTGAGATTTCGATCATTCCCTTTGCAGGGGTAACCAATTTCATGCTAATAACCTGCTCATCAATCGGAGGCAACTTTGCACCAGTACCATGTGCACCGACCTATGGACAGCAGCATTTAAGATACTAGTCAGCAACAAAGACAAGTTCAACGATTATAAAACTATGTCGCACCAAATTAAAAACTTACCGAACACCACACTTTAAGTACACCAACATGTTCATGGCATCTTCCCTAACCAACTACATATCAAGTTGCAGAACACTTCAAATTCAAGATATCAACTATGTGATCAAAGAATCCTTGACCCTGAGCCTCATCATTTTAATGGCGCTCTCTCAATGGCCAACCCAACATGCTTTTATCAACAATGAAGCTATTATCAAGCAATGGTTATCCACCTACCATATCTTGCTATGAAAAGATTTTGGGTGATTCTAATTACTATTAAAGATACACACTGCTGCAGTGGGAGGTCTAAGAACTCTCATATCCTTTTTCTTGTTTCCAATAAACAGTGCACATGCAACATATGTGGGTGGCTCCAGTAGTTTTGGTGAACTATCTGGCTTGATATATGTTGCAAATATTGCCAGCCTTGCAAAAACGTGGTCTGTCTCGATTGTCAGCCCACTTTTTGCCACAAAGATACAAAAGGGAGACAAAATCACCTTTTCAGCAACAAAAAAGAAAAATGTGGTTGGACCCCAAAGTATTTTTTGTATTTATTAAAATCTTATTGGCTGAATTTTAGTGCTCAACTCCAATCTACATATGCCTTGTAATCATAACTTCTGTTTTATTTGAAAGGCTAATTTTGTCTAAAATTTTATTTATTACAGTGCTATACAAATAGAGGGTCATGCATTGTTATAAAATTCGTTTGAATGATATGGAAATTAAGAATGAGCAGTCTCTACTTTCCTGAAACCTTATCTTCCTTTTATTGATCTTTGATCTTGGTGATGTTAAGCGTTCCCTTTCCTCTTAATCTTCATGAATTCAACTTCCTTTTAGAGATTAGAGTTGTTGGTTCTTTAACCTTAAGTCCTTATTTAACTTTGTGTTTTCCTATCCCAGATCTTCAATTCTTTCATGTCTGTCAAGCAACAATTTCCTCTCCACTGATCACGTCTTTCGCATCAAATTTTGATAACGCAGCCGAAACTATAACTTTTTCTTCTTCTTTCTAAACCAGCGACAATGAATCCCTAGCCAAAACTATAACTTTTGGGTTGAGTAGGTCGGGTTGAAGATATTTGAACAACCCAACCCAATTTTTAAGTTTCAAAAAAATCTCAACCCAAGCCAGCCCAAAACCGTGTGGGTTGGGTTGGTCAGGTTGAAATTTTGGTACATTATTTTTACAATCAAAATGAGAACATACAAATAAGGCTAACAATTACATAAGAGATATTTGCACGAGGCATTCTATTAAGGCTAACAATTACACAAGAGATATTTGCATGAGGCTTTCTATTAAGGATAACAATTACATAGGTAGCTATTTACTCCATTTCCTATGTGGTTATAGTATATAGGTATGGTTACTCAGTCTGCCAGAACATACCGCAATAAATTCATCGTTCAAAGTAGAAGAACAAGAACCAACAAGCAATTTCGTGCATTTAAAGTTACAAGTCTACAAAAGCTTGCAACAAACTCAAAGAAGAAAGTTGAAAGTTCAAGAAGATAAGAAAGTAAAATTATGTGATATGATTGAATAGAGCTAATTACATAATCGTCTAATGTGTAATGTACATATATTAATTAAGAACACAACAATCATATTCAAACCATGGTCTAGAGAGGCATCAGGGTGGGTTGGGTTTAAATGACCCTAACCCAATTCCAACCCAATACCTACGGTTTGAAGATTTTACAACTCGATAAGGTATCAAGTGGCTTCAGGTTGGGTTGGTCGGGTTTTTGTGCACCCCTAGTCTACTTCAAAGACATACTTGTGTCCTCAAAATCTGAGGAAGGACATTTGGATCATTTAAGGAAGGTGTTTGATCTTTTAAGGAAACATAAAGTCTAGCAAATTGGAGAAATGTGATGTCATGTAATATGGTGTTTCTTGGCTATGTGGTGTCTAAGTAAGGAATCTCTATTGATCCTTCCAAGATGAAGGCAATTAAATCGTAGACTACTCCTTCCATCAGAGAGGCAAAAAGTTTTCATGGTTTTGGCTTCCTATTATAGGCGATCTAATAAAATTTATCTACACTTGTTGCTACTATCATGGATTGTCTTAATGGACTTTTGAGTGGGCTAAATTTGCCTAAAAGACCTTTGAATATTTTAAATAAAGCTTAGTTCAACACCTATAACTGTTTTACCCAACATTGATGTGTGTATTGAGCTTGAATGTAATGCAAGTAATGTCAGTATTGGCATTATTTTGTACAATAAAAGAGACTAGAGGCCTACTTCAAAGGATTCAAGCTTAACTATAGCACCTATGGTGAAAAATTCTAAGCCGTAGTGGATGCTGCTATAGACCCTTGGTCCCATTAACTCAAGCAAAAGCAAGTTGTTGTATTTTCTTATCACGAGGCTCGCAAGTACATCAATCGCAAGCATAAGCCCAATCCAAGACATGCCAAGTGGGTGAAGTTCCTACAAATGTACTCCTTTTTGTATAAGCAAAAGACAGATTCCTCAAACATGGTGACAGATGCTCTTTCTTGGAAGCAATACATCTCATCCATCTTAGAAGCTAGAGTCCTTGGATTTTCTTTTACAAAAGAGCTATATGAAAGTTGACCTAGATTTTGGTCCCTATCTAAAGTGTTCTCTAAATGCATCATCTTATTCAAGATGGATTTCTCTTCAAATGAGCGAATTATGAATTCCTAAACACTCAAACCGGGGCTTATTGATTAGAGAAGCTCATGGAGGTAGATTAGCATTCCTAAAAGCTCGAGTAATGAATAGCAGCTGTGTGGACTGTGCTTTCGATGATCAGTGATTTTCTTCCTTAAGAAAGCCAGGAAACCACTAAAGTCATTTAAACTTTGCCACCTGCCAATTGGCACGCCACTAGTGATTTGGTGGCTAATCCCAAGAACAGGATTTAAACTCAGGACCTCTAGATTATATTGGACATATTCCAACCATATGAACAAGCTCAATTGGGCAAACAGTAGTTCTTTGTTATGAAAGCTAGAGTTGAAGACATTCATCTTTGGACCAACTAAAGAGTCTGATGACAAGAATATACCCTGATACCGCTTCATTAAGATACGAAAGTTCAAAGGGTGAACTAAAAGGAAAAAGACTTTTGAAACTGAGATGATGAACAAGGCTCCTGCAGAAACCCTAGGATCTCTGAAGAACCCTCAAAGATGATTTAGCACGCTCAAAATAGATAATTGAAGAGAACTCTCAATCCATCAGCATGATTCATTATTCAATCATCCAAAAATAATGAGACAATGGAGATGGAAGAAGTACTCAAAAAACAAGAAAAGCACTAAAGACTAAAATCAGCATGATATGCATTTTGTATAACCCGTAAAGGAGTATGCAAGTAGGCAGAGAGATAGCCAATGAACAACATGATATGCATCACCAGAGGAACATGGCAAGTAAGGTTCGATCTAATTAGTTTAAGAATTCAAGATTTAGATACATTAGAGGTCAAAAAAAGTCATCTTTTGCATCAAAAATGGATGTGATTTTGCTTTTATTCGGAAGACTAAAAAAATGACATCATCAGTTGTAGCACCGTAATTGTTCTATAAAGTTAACAAATTTATGTCAATTTTAAAATCTGAAATGGCATCCATACCTGAACAATGCCTCCAATCTGCTGTTCTCTGATAGATGCAAAGTTTTGCAAAGTAATGCCATAATCCTTGATAGCATCAACAAGCTGCTGGACCCGAATTCCCGCCTGCACTCGAACCGTTTTCTTCTCTTTATCCACCTCCAAAACTTTATCCAACAAAGCCAGATTCACCATCCCAGCACGGGCCAACCCGATCCCATTCGGGGATAACCCTGACCCAACAGGTCGAATCTTCTGCTTCTTCTCATTGGCATCTTTCACAATGGTCTCCAATTCCTCTAAAGTTTCGGGTTGGAGAAAGACCCGGGTCTGTACTTCATGAGTCCCGCTCCAATTAACGACCGTGTGAAGGTCGTCGGGAAGAGGGGCGTACCGGAAGAGTTGGGCCTTCTTGTGTTTTGCATTTTCAGGGAAAGGGAAGGAGTAGTAAGTAGCGACGGCACAGCTGAGGAGGAGCGCGGAGTATCCAAGGTATTTTCGAAGCTCAGAGGAAGTAGCTGAAGCGGCGGAGAGCGGTGGCTGGTTTGGCGGTGGTGATGATGAAGAGAATTGACGTATGAGGTTTAATGGAAGGGTTTTACTGGTGGATGAAGATAAGGGTTCGAGGCTATGATTGAAATGTGGGTTTTTGTGGTGGGTGACGAAGGATTGGAGGGATCGCTTTAGTTTGAGAGATCTGAACATCTGTATTGATTTTTCCGGCGACTTATTCACTTCTGATGCAGCAGTGTCACTACACGACTCCTATGTGAACGGAGAGCTTATCGTGGTCGCCTGATATGATTCAAATTTGTACCATTGGCCCCTTAAGTTTTCATTGCCAATCATTTACCCCTTAACCTAACAAGCAATGAGCGTGTTTGTCTAGTACTTTTAATATACTTCTCTCATTCCAAAGAGTGCGAGGTCGTTTACCAAACACTTAGCCGAAAAGTGTTTACCGGTAAAATTTAACACTTATCATTTACTTATCGGGTAAGATTTTAGTCCATCAAAATAGCATCTTATACCGCAATTTACCCGGTAAGTGCTTACCATGGTAAGGGTGTCGTTTTCACTTACCAGGCAAGACCTTGGTACTTGTCTCGCTCTTACCGGGTAAGATTCTTGGTCCTTACCATATTCATCCGGTAAGTTAATATGACTTGGCAAGCACTTACTCAAGTAAGCGTTTGATAAACGGCCCTTTAGTTGTTGAAGATAACTGTTATGAAAATTTCATTTTCAAAATAAATTATGTTGAAAAGAAATATAGAAAGAAAAAAAAAAGTTATGAGGTATTTGTTTACAAGAAAATATCCAAATCATGTAAAATCTTTTGCTTCGTTTTTGTTCTTTTTCTCAAAAAGATGACCAGAACGTCGTTTGGATTCGAATCCTATTAAGAGGTTCATTAGAGAACATAAATTGTTGTCGAAGCAAAAAGATTTTGACATCAATTTCCTTTTGTAGTTATTTTAATTTGGGTACGCTTTGTTTTATGTTGTTCGAGATGATTGATTGATCTTATCAGCAACTCATTTTAGCGGGTTGATTATTTGGCCTTTTACTCAATATTGACTCAATATTTTAATATAATTCATGTTCCCATATTGCCAAATTTTGTTGGTGATTTCAGTATCATTAAACATTTCAATGTAGTTGTGAATTAAATGAGATCGATTTTGGTTTATTGATATAAGTATCATATGAGTTAGGAGGTGGCAGTGCATACCTGTAGAAGCTATCGTGGACCTAAGATCATCATAAAGAGACGGTCAAAGCCAAAGGGTCACGACCTTGGCGAGGTTCCAGGGGCCCTTGGGTTGTATCCACTAAGTGATATTCAAAAGACGTGCATCCTCCGAAACTTTTATTCAGAAAGGTGTACGGCCTTCTGAACTTCACTTCAAAACATGGTACTTAGATTTAGAAGGCAATCCAACTTTTGAATTTTGGTGTAATAAACTTTGTTGATCACATCCACTAAATTTATTTGATAATTGTTGTTATATTCAAATAACTATTTAACCATCCCAAATAAGTTGTTGAGTAACTGCCTATTTAGGGGGATTTTCGATCTCTTTATGACATAGGAAAACATAACATTATATGCGTGTTTTTTGCTCTCGATTTTGCCTTCAGGCCCAGAAGGTATGGTTGGATCATCCCCTAGTAAATTCAGAAATAACCATAAACTAAAACATGATCGAAAAATATTATTTATAAACATACATTCATTTATGATCCATTTACTATTCAAATTCTTTTCGTCAGTATCTGATACCTGAACTTGATTTCCAAGATTTGTAAGAGTCATGTTTATTGATTTCTAAGATTTAAATTTATTCAAAGATATTTCATTTAATATTTTTTTTTATTAACCTCAATATCTAACCCGCTATGCAAGCCGACTAATCTCTAGATGACTACCAGCTTTTGTAAACTAATTAACAAAAAAATCATATCCACAACGTAGTTTTTGCAATTAAATGTACAATAAAATGAAAAATGGTGTATCATGGGACATCCACAAGTTATATTTCTTTCTGTCGCCGGGGGCTTACCACATGATTTATTTCTTTATCCATCTCCCAAAAAGACGATTTCTTTCGCCACCTATCTTCCATCCTCATCGTCATCACTCATCGTCATCGGTAAGTCTTTCCCTCTTTCTTTTTTTCTTTCAATTCGTCGCCTCGTAGATATGATTCATTTAACACTTCGCAACAAACCCATCTCATCTATCTTCAATTATCTCCCTTTCTAGCCAGATAGCAGGTTTCTTGAATCAATTTCTAGTAAAAGTTCATAACTTAGTTTGTAGAATTTGAGGGTTTTCTGGGTTCTGGATATGCTCGAATAATTTCTGGGGTTTCAGTTGGAAAAAACTTCAAAATCAACTGTAATTTCATCTGGGTGTCAATGGATACTTTGTTAAGAACTCATAATTCGTTTGAATTTCTGCACCCTGTTAATAGATTTGCAGGAAATTTAAGCTCTTTGAGTTTATCTAAGTGTCAAATTCAGGATCTTGGATGTGGCCCTAAGAAATCCCATGTGAAATTGGGTCATAGAGGTGGTATTAAGGCCAGAAGTAGTGCTCTTTTAGAGCTTGTTCCAGAAACCAAGAAAGAAAATCTTGATTTAGAGCTTCCTATGTATGATCCCTCAAAGGGTCTAGTGGTGGATCTGGTGGTTGTTGGTGGCGGGCCGTCGGGACTTTCGGTTGCCCAACAAGTTTCCGAGGCCGGGCTCAGCGTTTGCTCCATTGACCCGTCTCCTAAACTGATTTGGCCCAATAATTACGGTGTTTGGGTGGATGAATTCGAAGCTATGGATTTGCTAGATTGCATTGATACCACTTGGTCTAGTGCGGTTGTTTACATCGATGAAGGCTCTTCCAAGAATCTTGGAAGGCCTTATGGAAGGGTTAATAGGAAACAGCTTAAATCGAAGATGTTACAGAAGTGTATATCGAATGGCGTTAAGTTCCATCAAGCGAAAGTAATCAAAGTGATTCATGAAGAACTCAAATCATTCTTGATTTGCAACGATGGTGTCACGATTCAAGCAACACTCGTTCTTGATGCAACTGGTTTTTCTCGATCTTTAGTTCAGTATGATAAGCCTTACAATCCCGGTTACCAAGTGGCTTATGGAATTCTAGCAGAAGTCGAGGAACACCCTTTTGATGTCGATAAAATGCTCTTCATGGATTGGAGAGATTCACATCTCAATAACAATCTTGAAATCAAAGAAAGAAACTCAAAGATCCCGACCTTTCTTTACGCGATGCCCTTTTCGTCCAATCGGATCTTTCTTGAAGAAACTTCCCTTGTGGCTCGTCCCGGATTAAAAATGGAAGATATTCAAGAAAGAATGGTTTGTAGATTAAAGCATTTGGGTATAAAAGTGAAAAGCATAGAAGAAGATGAACGTTGTGTTATCCCGATGGGCGGCCCTCTTCCAGTTCTGCCACAAAGAGTTCTTGGAATAGGCGGCACCGCTGGGATGGTGCACCCTTCCACCGGATATATGGTGGCTAGAACCTTGGCGGCTGCCCCAATTGTGGCTAAATCCATAATTCAGTATCTTGGTTCTGAAAAAGGGCTCACCGGAACCAATTTATCAGCACAAATTTGGAAAGATTTGTGGCCGATTGAGAGAAGAAGACAACGCGAGTTCTTCTGTTTCGGTATGGATGTCTTGCTTAAGCTCGATTTGGAAGGAACCCGAAGGTTTTTTGATGCGTTTTTTGATCTAGAACCGCATTACTGGCATGGGTTTTTGTCATCACGATTGTTTCTACCCGAACTATTCACTTTCGGGCTTTCTCTTTTCTCTCATGCCTCTAATACTTGCAGGATTGAAATCATGGCAAAAGGAACTCTGCCATTGGCAACCATGATAAACAATTTAGCCCAAGATAAAGAATAGATATCAAGATTCGCAGTTTCATATGTGTAAGCTTTCGTTCTTCAGGATATGGGTTTATAATTGTTTTATGTTTCAGTTCATTTTCAATCTGTCTCTATATTTGTTGGAAACCATCTTTTTTTATACAGTTTATATAGAATTGTTGTTTTTGCCACACCAGTTTGGAGAGTTATTTTGAATCAAAAACTTGTATCATTCCTGGATTATGATTCAGAATCTTTCAAATTGAGCATATAGCTTGAGTTGATGTCTATTCTACAGCTGAATGGAAGTAAAATAAGAGTAAGGGGCTGTCTTACTTAATGGCTTGTAACTTGTTAGTATATGGGTTAATCAGTCAGTCCTATATGGGTGTTTGTTTGTGGCTTCTTCGTTAAGATGATGGCTTAATCTGTCAGCCACATGGGGTGGGTGAGCTTAATCCATCAAGCCATTATCAATAGAAAGACGGTTCCTCATATCCACAAACTCCGTTGGCAGGAGTGCCTTGATGAGTATATCGACTAATTGATTGTTGGTCTTGCATACTTCTTAATCCATATGCACAAGGAATCATCTTAACCAGATGGGTTGGCAAGCAACAGATGTAGCTGCTATGTATTCAGCCACAGTGGATGATACAGCTGCTTGTTTCTTCGAGCTCCGAGTGATGGCTCCAGATCCCAACATAAAAATGCTTCCACTGGTACTTCTTCTATCATCATGTGAACCTACCCAATTCCCATCTGTATTTCCAGTTAAGATGAACTGCTTATTTTTCTTATACCAAATCCCCATATCTTTAGTACCATCTGCATATCTATACACCCTTTTTGCTGCTCCAAAGTGCTGTTTGTTGGACTGTGCATGAATCTTGAGAGAAGACCAACATCAAACAACAGATCTGGTCTTGTATCAGTAAGATAAATGAGTTTACCTTCTTGGCTTTTGTACTTCCCTGCTTCTGCCATTCCAGTGCCATCTTCATCTGTTAACTTTTTATTCACATTCATTGGAGTTGATGTAGACATGCAGCTCAACATGCCAAATTGCTTTAAGATACCACTAGCATATATTAGTTGACACAAGAATATGCCATTTGTGGATTGTTGTACTTCTAACCCAAACACATATACTCCACATAGTATGTATAGTGGATCATAATTTTCTTATCGAGTCCAATACATACTTACATACAAACACGTAATCCGATGTCATTGCTATTATTGTTCTTTAAAAAATTATAAAAGAAGTCTTATTTGGCTTTAACGGGTCTTAGTTGAGCCCCAATACACACCACGTACTTATATGTAGTACATGTTTTCTTACAAACAGGTAGTAGATCACCAATGATCATAAAAGGATCTACTGGACTTTAATAGATGTATTGGACTTTATTTAGATCAATTGAGCTTTTTTTGGTTCTATTGGTGTTAATAGATCTATTGAGCTTTTTCTGGTCTTATTGGACGTTAATGGATCCATTGGATTATATTTGGTCGTATTGGACTTTAATGGATGTTAGTTGCGTTGGGTTTTAATGGTTCTTATTAGGATTTTAATGGATCGATTAGGCTTTATTTGGCCTTATTAGGATTTATTGGATCTATTACGCTTTATTTTGTCGTTTTGGGATTTGATGGATGTTAAGTTGAGCTTTAACGGCTCTTATTGGGCTTTAAAAGTTGTTAGTTGGGCTTCAAAGGTTTATTGGTTTTAATGGATGTATTGGACTTTATTTGGTCTTATTAGACTTTAATGAATCTATTCGTATTAGCTTTAATGGATGTTAGTTAGACTTTAATGGTTCTGTTGGGTTTTAATGGATCTATTGAGTTTTATTTGATCTTATTGGGCTTTAATGGATTTATTGGGTTTTATTTGCTCGTATTGGGCTCTAATGGTTCTCTTAGGGTTTAATGGATGTATTGGGTTTTATTTGGCCGTATTGGGTTCCAATGAATGTTAGTTGACTTTATTTGACGTTATTGGGCTTTAATGGATGTTAGTGGGTTTTATTCAATCTTAACTGGGCTTTAGTCGATCTAGCTTTAATGCTAATGTTGATGCTAATGCTCATGGTTTCAAATGAAATGAAAATTTCAAAAATTTCATGAAAACCGGCTGTTTCTTAAAAATATTTAAAAATAATAATTTTAAAGATTTACTCACAATTATTTCCGCTGGAAATCTGTCGGAAATAATCCGTTTTTTTTATTATTATAATCTAAGCCCCAAACAGAAGCCGTGATTCACAAAACCGAAATCAAGTTCGGAAATTCTCTCCATGGTGTAAAACAAAACTAAAATCAGTTCCTCCTTTCTTTGCCGACGACCTCCCGCACCGCACCGGCGACCTCACCAAGTGGCGATTTTCCTTGGTATAAAACCCTTTTCTTTACTCTATGTTAATGTTTTAGCCATTATTTGGTATTAGATGTTTGTAAAGGGTAATTGCTTGAAGTTGTAACTGATTATTATTTGATTCCTTGGTGTTTTAATGTTTTATTTTTAGAATTTGTTGAGGATAGTCTTAAAATTAAAGAGCTACTTAGAAAAGTTGTGATAGCCTCGGCATGAAGCAAACGTTTCCGTACGATGTAAAAGATTTCCAATATTCGTGACTTATTGTCATGGATGAAGTTAAGGATCTTTGATCAATAAAAAACCTACAAATTTCAGTACGTTTTTCGGTACATGATTCTAACTTCATCTATAAATATAACCCAATAATCATCCATCACACCATATACACTCACATAAATCGACAATGGCGGAAGCCATTAATGACCAAACGCTAAGCATCGAAGAAGAAGCATTTGGTACAACTGATGGAAACCCACATGAAGAATGGCTTCATTCGATCTTGAAAGCTAAGTCTCCACCTTCTTGTTCAACCCAAATTCACAGAGTTCCAATGATCCTAAGAGAGCACAAGGATCACGACAAGTATTACGTGCCAAAGGTCGTCTCTCTTGGTCCATACCACCATGGCAACCCGAACCTCGAGTCGGTTCAGAACTTCAAACCTCTCTTTACAAACGAGCTCGTCTCTGGGAACCAGGAGTCGCTTCAGAGTTTGTACAACAAGCTTGAAGAAATGGTTCAGACGTTGAGAGGGTATTATGAAGAAGATGAAGATGATCGTTTCTCGGATGAAGAATTCACAAAGATGATGATGTTAGATGGTTGTTTCATTTTGTACTTCATTGAGCACATCTTTTTGAACAATGACACTTTAGGGTTGAAAGGCCACCAGATTATGTTCGTCCAACAAGATTTGTTTTTGCTGGAAAACCAAATCCCATATCCAGTTCTAACCGAAGTGATGAAGTTCGTACCAGACAAGATGTGGGATTTCAAGATCAAAAGGTTCATTGATGACAACATTTTGGCGACCGAAAGACACAGAAGAGGAGGCCAAGCAAATTACGCTAAAGCGAACAATCCAATTCCCGCCACCATTAATCATCTTCTCGAGCTTCTGCAAACTAGGGTTACACGAGAGAAATCTTTAGGCCCAAGAGCAAACGATAGGTACACTTTTCGTAATGTCAATGAGCTTATAGAAGTAGGGATTCATTTCAAACCAAGTGTAACCAGATCTCTGGCACATATCGAGTTTTCTAAACATGGGTTTTTCGCAAACCTGCAACTTCCTCCCATCACCATCGACGATGCAACAAAACCAATGTTGTTAAACTTGGTGGCCTACGAGATGTGCTCAAATGACGCAAAAGCTTCGTGGGTCACCTCTTACATATGTCTTATGGATTCCCTGATCGATCATTCTGAGGACGTTAAGGTTCTTCGAAAAGCTGGGGTTCTCGACAACCGGCTTGGGAGTGACAAAGAAGTGGCGAAACTGTTCAACGAAATCGGAACCGATCTGGTGCCCAACAATTTTGCGTATTCGGAGGCAAGATTTGCGATTCAGAAGCATTATGACAGTAAGAGGAACACATGGATCAGCCAACTGAAGCATGAGTATATGAAGAGTCCTTGGGCATTTGTAGCACTTTTCGTCGGAGTTGTGGGTCTGTTTCTTAGTGGTGTCCAAGCTTACTTCAGTGTTTGGGGTCTCCGAAGTGATTGCGACTATGTTTGCAAGGCTTTGAAGGAGAGGCATAACCTATGATATGAGTAGGGTTTCATCATCTGCTCCTTGGCATCTCTGTCAAATATCTACTTGAACAATATTTTTGGGTTATTAGTAACTTATACTTTTAAATAATAATTTGAAGAATTAGCTAGTGTTTATATTTAATTTTCAAATATGTATCCATACCAACCGACCTAATACGTGACCAAGGTCGCATATGAATTTCTTTGTTTGTTATGTGCAACTTGCCCGTGAGTTACCCTTGATTGAAATCAGGTTTTGAAATATTTAAGAACATATTTGTTCCAGAAAATTGTCTAAAAATTTAATTATTTCAAACACTAAAGTCCATTGGGTTTTTTAAATTTTTAATAAATTCAAAGTATAGAAAATTAAAATTTTTTAATTTTTAGATTTAATTATGGATTTGGTCCCTATGGTTTGTATGGTTTTATGAAATTGGTTCATCTGAGTAAAGACAATTTGTTACAAATTGGTTAATGAAGGAACTAATTTGTTACTAAACGATAACAAGTTGTAATAAATAAAGTTCAAAGACCATTTTCGTAGTAACCACCATACCACAAGGACCAAATCTGTAATTTACTAAAAAATTAATAAACTAATTATGTACTTAACGTTATTGTTTTCTTATGGTTTATTTCTAATAAAATGGTAATTAGGGTTTTGTTAAGGTTTTTATCTAATTGACATATCTATACTATCTTATAAAGCATTTTGGCTAAAACTCTTAAAAACTCTTAAACCCGTTCATCCCTAAACGATTTCATCTCTATCCAATTTCATCCCAAATCTGAATTTGTGTAACTAACTGTAGATAAATACAACCAAATACAGGATAAACATCTCATTTTAAATATAAAAAATCTAAAATATAATTAGTATAATCATTAAATTCTAACAGAATACTTAATTATTATCTTTATAAAATTTATAATATTAAACAAAAAATAAATTGTTTTATTATTAAACTTAAATTAAATTATATAAAAAAATATTCTATATTATAAATCATTTGACAAAAACTCTTAAAAACCACTTTTTATGCGTAAAGTACTGTTTATTAGTGCATATTACTTAAAACTCAAGATTACAAGTAAATTGTGCGTAAGTATAACTTATTAAAGCTTCATATCTGAATTCGTGTAACTAACTACAGATAAACACAATCAAATACAAGATAAACATCTCATTTTAAATATAAAAAATCTAAAATATAATTAAGATAATCATTGAGTTCTAACATAATACTTAATTATTATTTTTATAAAATGTTATATTATTAAACCAAAAATAAATTATTT